GATCCTTTTTACGGTAAAGTACATTTGCATACAAACATGTTCAATCAATAACCTTACATATTCAAGGAAAAATTGGAAACTCTTTCAATAATACTTATGGTTAAGTTTCTATGTTCTATCGTGAATGGAAAATGCTAGGGGGACGGACCCCTACCAAGCCTACGGGGCAGTCTCCGTGACACCAATAGATTTCTCTCTTCTTCTTCTTTTTTAAAGTTAAATTTATTATTTACTCGTTACTTTTAACAATTCAAACTCATTTATGTTCTCTCTTTTTCTTTTTCTTTTTCTTTTTCTTTTTTTTTTGTTCGAAATGGGTGCTTAACAAATATTGTTGGGAAGAACGGGCTGTAATCTGAGTGTGGTAGAAAACAAAGCAACAACAAAAACTTCTTCAATCTATTTTAAATTGTTAGAAGCAAGCTAAATTGAGTCTAAACAAATTACAACAACTGCTGAAAAATATGCAAAATAGTAGAAATGGCAACAACAAATCTACCACCACAAGAGACACAATATTTTTACGTAGAAAACTCTAAAAATGGATAAAAACCATGAGACATCTAGTCTACAAAAAAAACTCCACTATAATAAAAGAGAGCACACAATATATTTTTTTAAAAAGGCATAAAAACAATACCAAATAAGAAGAATAACAGGTCACAAACTAAAAAAAAAAGGCAAAAATATGACATAAGGACCCGAACTTACACCAAATTCGTAATTTCAGACCCAAACTTCGATTGCCCTCAATGAAGGTCCCGAACTCCACGAAATTCTCAAATAAGGTCCCAATTGGACGGAAAACTAACTTCCTCAAATCTCCTATTATTCCGTTAATGTTCCATCACATTTCACGCCTCCCGAGAAAAAAATTGGTTAAATGCTAATTTTGATCCCTCAACTTCATTGAGTTTCACTTTTTTGTCCCTCAACTTCATTAAATTTTACTTTTTTATCCATCAACTTTATTGAATTGTACTTTTTTGGTTCCTAAATTATTTTTTGTACTTTTTTGGTCCTTAAATTATTTTTTACACTTTTTTGTGTCTCTTGGTGGAAGAATCACCCTCATAAACTCTGTGCTATCCAGTCTACCAGTGTTCCTGATGTCATTCTATCTTCTCCCTAAACAGGTAATCTATGAACTTGATAAAATTAGAAGGAAATTCTTGTGGGGAGGGGTTGAGGAAGGTAGAAAGATTGCATGGGTGTCTTGGGATAGGGTATGCTGTAGTAAAAAAGAGGGAGGCTTGGGGATCAAAAATTTGAGATGGTTTAATATGGCATTGCTTGGCAAATGGTGGGCGAGACTAGCAGTAGAGGGAGACAAGGGTTTATGGTCTAGGGTACTTCTAGAAAAGTATGGTGGCAAGGAAGGAAATTGGTTGTCATGGTTGAGAGAGGGTCGGGGCTTAGGATCTTCTTGGTGGAATGATGTTTGTAAATTGAATAGAGGCTTAGATGGAAAGGATGAGTGGCTGTTTTCAAATTTTAAGTTGAATTTGGGTGATGGGAAAAGTGTTAGGTTTTGGAATGATGCATGGGCGGGGGGGGACACTTTAGCTAATATTTTCCCCAGACTTTTCTTGTTGGCTACAGAAAAAAATTGCAGCATCTACGATATGGGACATTGGGTAGATGGGTGCTGGTTTTGGAGGTTCCAATGGAGAAGAAGACTTCGAGCCTGGGAAGAGGACAAATTGAAACAACTAACCGAGGCTATACAACACATAAAGCCAACGCAGGACAAGAAGGACAATTGGAGTTGGAGGCTACATGGTGAGGGAAAATATACCACAAGATCTGCCTACGAGCAACTTGTAAAGAAAGAGGATAACAGGCTAATGGAGTACAGAAAACTGCGGAGTGCACAAGTTCCATCAAAAGTAAGTGCTTTTTCATGGCAATTGCTTTTAGATAGAATCCCTACAAAGGTTAACTTGGCAATGTGTGGGATTTTAGATGGAAACGAAAATATAAAGTGTCTTTGGTGTGATCAATCCCCTGAACATATAGATCACCTTTTTGTGTCTTGCAACATCTCTTTCAAATTATGGACAAAATGTCTCAACTGGTGGGGATTACATTACGTACTTGGGAATACTTGTCTTGATATTTTCAACCAGCACAGATGGCACAAGGGTTCAAGGACTCTAAAAAAGGGTTGGAACATGTTATGGTTTACTATAGTGTGGTCATTGTGGTTGCATAGAAATGAAACTGCTTTTCAGCACAAGAAGATTAATGAGGACAAGCTGTTTAAACTTGTACAAAGCC